TTTTATTTAAAAATTTTTATTTTGTAAAATATGTTTTTTACTTGCATAAAGTACATTAATTATTGATTTATGCTTCCAATCTACTAAAAGATCGTAATAATTACAAAAAAGTAAATCATCATCAACATGATATACTTCTTTATATTTAGCAACTCATATATAAGTTGTAATAGAACTAACTTTTCATATAAACATTATTTTAATGAAGTTTGTTTATGATATCTATAATTTTTTACTTATTATTTAGTAGATTTATATTGTTAAAAGATTATCTATACTACAGATTATGTATTTTATTATGTAAATTTTGTATATATTTATGCATATTTATGCATTCAAATAATATAGATCAAATTTTTGTAAAATTATATGATGACAATAGGAAATTTTGTGATTATCAAAATTTTGTGACATTTGTGATATTTTGCAAAATGCCATAAATCATCATTCTTAAACTGACTATCTAATATAACACATATTTGATATAACTGAAATTGCAATTTTATTTTTATATCAATTATTATGTTAATAACAATTATTTATAATTATCAAAAGATAAAAAAAGAAAGAATTATTATTACATTACAATACTGACACATAATTTTATTGGTAATAAGAACTAAATTCACAAGTAGTTACTGTTTAAAAAATAAAACATCAGAAAGCTTGAATGAGAGTGATCAAAAATTTTATTTCAAGAATAAATTAAAGAATAAAAGAATCAAATATATAATATATATCCTTTTTAATTACAAATGAACTTAAAGGTTTAACAGAAATCAAAGAAATGCTTATTAGACGAGTATTTACTATTATAACAGTCTATCAGTTTTGAGGTAAACAAAAATGATATTGAGGGAATATCATTAACTTTTCTCAAAATATTCAAAAATTTACAAATCGTATTTCTGTAATATGATAAAAATTATTTTATATTATTAATATTAACCTAAAGAATATCATAAAAATAATGAAAAAACTACAAATATTCAATATAAGAAAAAATTAATAAGTCTTATCTTTTAAGGAATTGCTAACATTTTTCTAATAATTCTCATCTTTTCTGTTGAAGTTTTCTCATTATTATGTGGTAATCGATACATTAGGGCAGAAGCCTCTTAATAAATTCTCTTATCAATATCTGTAATTGGTATATAATATAAAATAGAACTGATGATTTGTTAATTAATATAATAGACATGTTAAAGAACTTAATAAACTTACCTTTATGTTTACAATTTCATATAAAATAATTTCTTTCAAACAAAAATGGTTGCTCCTTAGCAATTTAAATTCATTCAACAAAAAGATCTAGTATATACTATCATATGATAGATCTATTACATAAATTCTTATATTACTAGATAATGGAAACCATTAGGAAGTCTGAAGTGATAAATATGGTATTATTTAATCAATCAGTAAAAAGGTATATAATTACGTAATGTAATAAATAAAATCACATCAACTCAAACAATAAGCGGGCAGACTGACTAATAAATTTATTAATTTAAAATATATATAGGACTATATACTACAAAAAAAATGTCTCGCTGTTCATTTACTCAAATTTTAGATTGATACATGATCATTATACTTGTACTCTAAACTTAACAATAGTTTCTAAAACTATTTCTAGTTAAATTACATAGTATTTAATACTTCTTCACTTACATTTTAAACTAATAACCTGCTAGTAAAAATTAATTAGCTTCAAAAATCATAATGTTTAACAGAAAATAATTAGACAATCTAAGTTATAATAAATACCAAATGAGTGAATTTCAAAGATGACAATTTTTAATTCAACTCTTTTATTATAGATATCATCAAGTAAGTCTTTTATGAGAATTTCTAAATCAACTAAGTCAACGTTTACCAATTGTAAATTGACTTTGCTAGGTGATTTAAAAAAACCAAATATAATTTCAAATTTATTATATCCATGAAAATCAATAATGAACATGAAATCTAACCTATGACCTTTACTATTAGAATCTATTTTTATAGATGCATTTGCTAATGACATTTTTATTAGCCCTATTGCCAAATAAATGTTAAATTAAATGTCAAACAAAATAAATTGACAATAAAATCCATAAAAAATTACTAATTAATTGTTTTTTCTGACTCATCTGAGAAAATAATCGTAAAATAGGATATATCAGATAGTACATATAAGCAGTAATATGCATTTTATACTTCTAATTTATAAATTTTGATTGGAAGCTTTCAATCAAAATGAATTTATTAGAGAATTATGCTTTCAAAGTATTTTCAAGGATGCTTTTAATCTTTCAAGTACATATCACTGCATATAAGTATCCTTGATTGTTAATGGATCATCAAAAATTATATGCAAATTTTTCACTTTTAAATTTGATGTATTTAAATACAGAATTGGTGTTTAATTTGAGAAATATACATTTAAATAAAAGGCAAAGAATATATCTATATATGTTTTCAAACTTTCTGACAGGTCTTAAGCAAATGCTTATTAGTAGAATTTTCTTTAAATCATTATAAACAGTTTCAATAGAATCTTCTAAATTCATTTGAATTTTTTCTCTTGTAATTTTGCGTACTGATAACATACTAGACTGATTCTTCATTTCATTTATTAATAGCATTAGCATATTTATAAAATTTTTAGAATCATCTGTTTCTATATTTAAATAAAAAATAAAGGATTGGGTGTGAGTAATTTCTGTGGTTTATTACTCCCTAAGGAAGATCAGCCAAAACCAATGGATCACTTCAAAATGCTTTGAATTTTTTTTAAATATTATACAGTATGCGTTATTAAAATATATCAGCGAAGGATTAAAAGATTATTATATAGTTAATAATAAAAGAACATTTTGTAATAAATTACTCTATATTATGTTATTTTTATCAAAACTAACACTATTTAAAAAATTCACTTGCTTTGATATATAAAAATGACTAAATAACATTTCTTCAATTAGCAGTTTCACCTGAATAGAAAATGGACTTTTCTTACATCTACCTTAAATTTTGAATCTTAATGCATTTAGACTAGTGTTCAGACTTAGTTATTCGTGTAGTTATTAACCTATTAATATTTGTCAAGTAAGTATAAAATAGGCAACGATGACTTCAATCTGAATATTCAATGATCAGTATATTCAGCAACTCAGGATGCCTTCTAGGCCATAGGCCATTTAGAAGATCCCAAGCCATCAATTAGTCATTGAGTCATAGGAGTATTAAACTTTATATATATCATTCTAAGACATAATCATAATTGCTCACTCCTTTTTTTATATTAATCAATATCCAACGAAAAACACAACGTCTAAGATAGGTATCTATCATTAAATAATTGATTATTATAATAGTGTAGACTACTCATTCCTATAAAAAATTTGCATACGTTTTTTCATTATTATAAATAAGTTTTGTATACATTTTTTGAAGTTCTATAATACATTTTCTTATATTTTATAAGAAATTTTTTTTTAGCATTTTTTTTATAAAAAATGATGTATAAGGAATTGTTAATTAATAATA